TCCATTTCAGTTTGATCGCTGGTAAATAACGGTAACCATTGGTTGCGCTTCTGTAATTTGTTTTTTTTTTTTATTTTTTGCAAGCACGAAATATATGATTAGCTCATTGATGTCAATCAATCCCTCATTTATTAAAAGCCTTTTCTTTCATGAAGCCAAATATCTAAATTGAATTTGCATAAATTTGAAATATTTGCTTAAAATGATTTTCCAATTCATAGATTTCGTAAAATTTTGCTAAACATACGCTTAGATCAAATTGCATTTGACTTGGATGTTCATGTTTTTGAATATTTGCATATAAATTTCCGACGCAAGCAATGGTACCAATAGATCTGATAGGACAGAGTGGATCATTTAGTCTATAACAGTTACCATCAGATGGATTTAAAATTAGGGTGCCATCCGCAACCATTGCCATTACATGAGCTGATCGAAAACCTATAATCGTGATGTTTAAAATTGTACCAATAGATCTAATAGGACAGAATAGATAGATCACTTAGTCTACAATAGTTATCATCGGATGGATATAAAATTATAGTACCATTCGCAACCATGTTTAAAATTACTAAGAATTTTAGAAATTTTATATCCTCTTTTATTTCAAGCTAAAATCATGGTGTTTTCAAAATCGTAAAATGTCTAAAATTAAAAATATAATCTTTTTCTGCGAGATTTTCTAATGAATAAAAAATATTTGGCAAAGTGATTTTAAATTTTGATAAACTGGTTGAAATTCAATTCTGAATCGCAAACCTTCTGGTAGCGATTTTCCAAAGAGGACATATGATTTTATGCCAAGATATAGCAACCAACAACATAGCAGTATAGCATGCTCGTCCATAGCTCCACAACCGATTGATAGAAACTTAAAAATGATAAGGATTCGTTTAACTTGTAGTCATAAAACATATTGTATTGGTCTATGATCTCGTCAAGATTTTACTTCTTCAAATAATATTCACCCGATCAGCAGTGATCCAGATATCACAGAATCCTGAAGAGATAATGGAATCAGGAGTAAATGGTATGTAGGAAACCATTTGGCATGCAATACGAGCTAGGGCTTGCGATGATTGACCTGATAAGTTGATCGGTGGTTTAATTGGTCGGATAAATCTGAAATTAAATTTGTACAATACATTAAAAATGTAAATGTTGAATACATAAGGTTCATTTCTATTATTTACGTAAACTATAAAAGTTCAAAAATAGTATCATAAAGGATTTGAAATTAATTAATATATAATGCATTAATATTATTTTCACAAATATCGAATTCTCTTTTTCCAAAACAAATAGATATACAATAGAAACTACAAATTCTTTTATTTTTCATGATTCAATTTATTTGATCAATGTTTGCAATCACAATTGTCATCCAGTGATTCTATCTCAGAAAGCTAATTTAGAATGGAACTGAATCAAGTAATGCATACAAAATGATACTTGCATGCAAATAAGTAATGCATACAATATGAAACTTACATGCAAGTAAATAACAACACATATAAAATTATGCCTGTATGCAAGTAATGACAAAATGATACCTGGATTGCATGTAAATAATGCATACAAGAATTATACCTGCATGCTAATATTCGTTTGCCAGTAGCACTTTGTACAATACTAACATAACGACGATATATGAAACGATTTTTAGCATTTTGTTCCCATTCTAAGGATTTCTTTCGTATCTATAAATTGTTTGTTTTTGATGCTCAAATATTATTGCATTAATTACATTTATCAATAAATCGATCTATTATAGTACATCATTAGTATTAGTACATTATTAGTAATCAAAAAAGTTTTCATCTCTTGCTTCCATGAATTAAATTTAGGAAAATTTTTACAGCATTTGATTCATCAATGCTTGAATATTTGATGTTAACAATTTGTGGTGGACATATATCTGGTTGAAAAGCTATCAGTAATTTGAGATATGCTGGCTGATTATTAATCCTGAAAAAAAAAAAACTAATACACATAAAATGTGATTTAAAAGTCCATTATTGTAGATATAATTTGTTAATAAGTCTAACCTTTGACACCGAGCACTTCCAAAAAAAGATGAAAATCATTGGCAAACCTATAGGAACTAAGAAAAAGTGGTGTTTGAAGGCGCAAATATCCATCTATCTTGCCATTGAAATAAACCGTTGTTAATGGTATGAAAACAGAGCCTAACCATCGTCGTTCCAATTGTTTATGTACTGAATTCGGTTCACGATCATCAGCATCAAGTTCAGTGACCAGCTGAAACAATAAATCTTACGTGTTTCACGTATGAAATATCCCTCCAATTTGACGTAAATAATTAGATCTGAAAGGATTAATTTCAGTGATGGATTTCAACAAAGTTTTTGCTACAACTTTCAATCTTGATATATCTGCGCTAAAATTTTTTACTTTTCTATTTCTCTTTGCTTTATGAATCCTACTAAGGAATCTAACCCGATTGTAGACTGCAATTTTTATACATTCTGTAACTGCGCTAAAATCATTATTAGCTGTACGAAGGCGATCTAATTTCAGTTCAAGAGTTTGTTGCCAATATGGATTTCGTCCATTAGATATTGATGTTTGCGCTAATGAATCCTGAAAAATTTATTATTACTGCAAGGATTATTGATTATTTGATAATATCATGTCTATTATCAATGTTACTAACTGTACGTCAAATTTATCCGTATGTGAAACACTTGAAAGATAAATATTATTAAGAATATTATGAAATTAGAATATTAAGAATATTATTCAGATGAATTTGCTGATTGTGCTTACAAAAAAGAAATAAACAATTCCAAAATTAATCAATGATTTAAAGTTTTCGACAATATAAGGTTTTCTTTTTCTTTTAAACAAATTTCGTTTGAAAAAATGTCAACTTAACCTGGAATGAAACCTCAACAAATGATAGTAGCTTTCCATGTTCAGGTTCCGGAAGGTTTATTGCTGAATGAATATTGACCACAAGATGATATTCCGCATCACCTGCTACCTGTATTATAGTTCACTTTAGATATCTAAATCAATATAGATATATGCAAAGTACAATGATTTTATATATTACCTTCCGTATAGTTTTCGCTCGTCTTGCTGGTTTTAATTTTCGTGATATTTCGGTAGAACTAAATGGAAAAGCACCAAATGTACCAAAAAATTTCGGAAGTGGTTCTTCATGTACTAAATCATTTATCATCTTCGAATTTCGCTCACGTATTGCTTGTTCATAAAAACGATTCCTGAACGATGGAAAATGATAAGAAATTATTAGTTAACTATTATTGATAAGATATGATATATTATTCGATAATATCATTTCCGTTATTTTATTACCGTATCATAAGAGCATATTGATTTCCAATATTTCGATATCGATCAATTTTTGTTTTGTAATTATGTTGATTTGTTATACGATTTGGTGCAATCTTATGATGCTCAATTTCTGAATTCAATAATGGAATTGGTTTTTTAACGCCTGTTTTTTGTTCATTACGAATTTGTAACGCTTTCAATCTGTAAAAACAATTAAAGAAAAAATGGAGACAGAAAATATTTATCATCCTTTTTTTTGCTATTATTGTTGTTTTATTATGAAAGGAAATGATTTATTTTTCATTTCTTTTTTTCAGAAAATTAAAAACTGACAATTAAAATTATTTGTAAATATTATACATTTGCATTTGTAATGTGTATTTTATAATTTCTCATGTAATATATACATATTTTCTCTTCGTTACCATATTATTCATTTCCGTATTTTACTAAAATTGAATCTTCTCTTAATGATTTCAACATTACCTGATATCATTATCAAACTCTTCATCAGAACATAATCGAACTTCCTTAGGTATCAGATCAAAGTTATTTGCTGTATCAATGGATGCTTGCTGCTGTTGAAGTGTAAATATTGGATATCGTTGAGGTTTATTTGACATAAACATATTCTGTTGTTTAGCCCATGAAGCATTACAGTATAACTCACCAGATATACATGGTCTATGACTACCAGAACCAAGACTAGAATACATCCTGTAATTAAAAAAAAAGTTTAAGATAATTTTGACAAAAATAAATGAAAATAGAAAAATTGCATCAGTACTGTTCTGAAAAAAAGGTGTCGGTTGATAACATTGATAACCATATGGTATAAGGCTTTTTCATTATCAAAAAATAATTTGAAATTAATTTCGAAGCTAGTTACCCATTTATGATTAAATCACTAGCAAATTCCACTGGTATTACAATATTTCGTCCATCAGTAACATTATCTTCATCTGGTAATGGTAAACCAACAATTGCAATTTTACGAGCTTCTATCTTTGGTACTTTCTCAAAAATTGTTATTGTTATGGATTTAGGTATTTCTTGTACCTGAAATAGAGACGGTAGTACTAGATAATCAATGGAAAATGAAAATGATACTTTAAATCTCCTTTTTTTGAACTTATTCAGAAATAAACTTCAAAATTACAAAAATAGAAATTAATGAAGAATTTAAAATAATAAATTTGCCTTTGATTTATTGCGATTTTTTCAACAATACTTCTGCAAATCTTGCAGTATTTCTCAAAAATAACCTGACAATAATTAAGTTAAAATGAAATTATGGGTAAATAAATTCAAGAATCAAAGTTGAAAATTGCAAAAGACAGAAAGTTTGAGACCAAAAATGATGATCATATGTATCAAATAAAATTTCATTTGCAATATTTACCTGTAAATTATAAATTTGTCCAAAATAAGCTTGAAAATTGCTATCAATTCGTTGATACAACGTTCTGCATACAATAATATTGTTAAATTCGATCTGTAATTGCAAACGACATTTTTGCAAATAATTAATCCGATCAGTTTCATCCTTAGGTAACGGATTATTCGATTCATTATCATTACTATTATCCAATACATAAACCGGAATACCACGTAGTTCATCAAATAATTCTAATTTCTCTATAACATTCATTTGATCATCGGATTGTTTCCTGCAAAAATTGCCGAAATTAAAATATTCACTTTAACTTAATTAATAAATGAATAATCCATTTAATTAATGAGAATAAGAAGAAGAAGAATAGTAATAACAACAAATATACCTTGTGATTAAAAATTTAGCAAATTAATCAATAAATCATTTACATGTAATAGTATTGCATAATTAAGATTATCATTTGAACCTTTTTTCAGCATGTTGTTGTTCGAAAGAGATTTTTTTTAATTGTTAATTTCGTAGTGGAATATCCTTGTATTTCTCGTAATTTCTGTAATTTTTTCCAATTTTCTTCAATCTTATCACTCAGATCCAAATAATTTTGCTGCTTTTCCTCCAAACCAATCATTAATTCTTTTATTCGATATTCTGTACTGCAATTAAATACGCCTTTTTGTAAATAAGTTTATTTTATTTCCTTGAAAAAAAAATTTGAAATGATTTTTTTTCTTTTTGAAAGGAAAAAATTACTAATGGAACCTGAAATTAGCAAAAATCATCTCAGGAAATTATGTTTCCTTTATCACGAAAATATTATTCATATATGTATTCACAAGTTTACTTTATTTTCTTAAAAAAAATTTGAAACAATTTTTTTTTAACGAAGAAAAAATTAGTATGATCGATTGGGAAAATATAATCACAAACTATTATCAATCGAGGAATCTCAGTACTCCCTCGGTATGACAATGTCTCTTGGTTTTTTCATGCCAATTATTTCCCATAACATTTTAATGATAATAGTTCAATTTTTTTTTCAGCTGAATTATTCGAATAATCTGACAGTTTTTTTTTAGCATAAAATTAATTTTTAAAACAAAAATTTCACTAACTTTTCTTTTTCATTTTTTTGTAAAATTCTTCCTTTACGTAATACTTTTTCTTCCATTTCAACTTCTTTCAGCAATTGCAATGCTTCCTGCATTCGAACTGATTGCATTTTATGCAAATTTTGAATTGTACTGCATAGCTGCAATTAGCATAATGCCCATATTTTACTTATATTTATAAAAACTTGGTAAACAAATATGAGTAAACAAAATACAAGTAAACAAATATGAAATGATTTCAACATTTGATATGGTACCAGTTTTTCTCTCACTTAATTTTCATTCATAATTAGCCTTAATTATAAACCAGATCTTCCTGTCCAAATAACCAATGATAATTAAAAACAATTCGATTCAAATCAATATCCAATTGTACAAAATCCTGCTGTTTAATACGACTAAGCGCTTTTTCCCATTCTTCAGCTTTAACATAGCGACGTAAATTGCGACAATTGTCATCATAACGTTCCGGCTATAATTTTCTTTTAATTAAATTCTGAAAAGAAAAAAAGAAGGAAAATTTACCTATCATCTAATGTAATAAGTAAAATTGAAAACGTAAAGAAAAAAGAATGCATATTTATTTATTAATTGAAAATGATCGAGCATTTGGTATATTTTACGATTTCTCTTTCTTATTCATTCTCGTTTTCTTGTCTGAAACTTTTTTTTGGAGCTATAAAATTCTCTGGAAAACTAAAATACAATAATTCATTACTCGTTTCGGAATTCGATCAATATCTAAATTGCTTCCCAATATTATTCCATCATCGTTAAGAAAATGCTCACCCACTCTTTGTATTAATAAGATATAATTTTGCAATTTGAAATTCGTTATACTGAAATTTTGAAAATAATTCCATCATTGCTGTAATTTTTTTCCTCTCCTTTCTTCGACAATTTTCAATTGATACTTAGTAGTAACTAGTGATGTTAGACAAAAGTTATAAATAATTAGTAGAAGATAACGATGATAAAAGTACAGATAATATACATGGATAATATTATTGATTATATGTACGAAATGTAATTTGCAGTAAAATTGAAATTTAAATAAGCTTTACTTTTGTAGCCCATTTTCAATCGATGATGAGATTGTCGCATTAAATTGTTTGTCATATGTACAGCATAACATCGAAAATTGTTCAATTTCTTCAGGCGATTGTGGTTGTGCTGCCATAAAAATAACTGAATTGTGAATTGTATTTGTAGTGTAAAGAAAAAAGATCAAAAATTGAATTTAATTTAAGAATTTTATTTTTAAAATTTTATTTTGGTAATTCCTTTTTCTGATGAAAAAAAAGGAGGAAAAGAAATACAAAGCAAAATGAGGGAAGTATGAAGTATTATTCATGATAGACACTTTAAAACTATCAATTTTAGGTACCTTTAGGAATTTGCTTTCGTTTAATTTCCATCTTTCGGTCATTTTGGAATTGACCGGTCATAAATTCATATTGAACATCATCAGATGGTAAATAGTGCACACAATCAGCAGTACATTTCTTGCCAAGCTATACAAAAATCCTCTTATAAAGTTGTTTTAAAAATTAATGTAATTTAGGAAAAAATTTTTTTGAATTAACGGGAACAGTCAAAAATGAAGTAATCAAAAACGAAATAATCGCAAATGGAGTAATCAAAAGTGGAATAATTAAAAATGAAATAATCAAAAGTGAAATAACAAATAACGAAATGATCAGAAATTAAATAACCGGAAATAAAACAATCAAAAATGAAGTTAACATTGAATTTATTTACTATCATAGGAACGAATTGTAGAAATTAAGCTTTGTGATTTTTAATTGCAAATTATTATATAATTATGTAATCTAACTATCAAGCTGCAATCATTTGTGATTTTTTTTTCCTTTATGATTTAATACAAGATTTTGCCAGGTTGAAAAATTGATGATTAATTAATTTTGAATTTTGATTCAGCAGAAGCAAAAATTCAATTTTATAAAATGTCACCAACGTACATATCATTTGATCAAATGATCAAAATCAGATCAGACGGCCACATCATAATCATGATCAGATCAGATCAGATTTGATCAGATCGGATGATCAGATGATCTCGTACTTTAATTTATACAAA